TCAGGTCCTAGGTACTTGGGCCACCGCCAGAATTCGAGAGTTGTGAATGACCAAATTAGCGACAATAGTCCATCCTCTTAGATGCTGAATTTGTTGTATGTAAAATTGTCTTTTCATTAGAGAAACATATAACAACCACAAAAAATCACTATTGCAATTTTAGCCCAATCACAAACAACTCTAATTTTTTCAACAATAACAAAAAGACTATTACAGAATGAAGGATGTGTAATAAAAGACACCTTTCTACAACCCGACAGTATTCAGACTTCCAAGAACAACAAGCAAGAACAACAAACAGAGTTAATCACAATTCACTTATAGCTTCAAATAATGAAATAATATAAACTAACAATACCCCGAGAACTATAGCACTCTCTCTAGGAAATAAGGATGTAAGCCAAAGACCAACATATTATTTTTGGAAATATTCCTAACATAGTAATAGTATAGTAATACCCATAGATGGATAAACATAAATCCGAGATTCTTTGGGAAAACTAAAGTAAAACAGATAACACAATTTATGCATATGAATAACAAATATCAGCAGCACAAGTTGCTTATGGAGTCTGTCATCCCATTCTAAAGAAAATCATATGGAGTATTATGAGAACGGGCAAAATCAAAACTCCAAAGTCAAGAACCAAAGAAGCTACAATGGTATCAAAAAAGAAAATGCTGCAGACCGAGAAAATTTGGGAGAAAATCAGTACTTACACATTTTCAATTTCCTCCAACAAAGACTGCAAGCAGAAGGAAAAATAATCATACTCTAAGAAAAATAGAAAATAAACAATATACAGATTTACAAATTTACATGTCAAAGTATCCAACACTTATGCGAAGACAATGAGCAACCAACCAACCAACCAAAAACCAAACAATCTCAACAGACTCAACTCATTATTCGTCAATCACGAACAAAGCAATATACGCAGTTTCACATTTATATATAACCATCAAACAACCCATTAAAAAAAATCAAAATAGAATGCAGAAACAAGAGACACTTACACGCCTGCCAATTAATTCCCCATGGTCAGCTTTTCAGTTCCATGACTCGCTAAATATCTTCATACTAAGGCCCAACATAATTTAGCGGACAAAATTAAGGATATTATGCATAAGTACGTTACTAATCCTCGGCAGATCTGGTCGTAGAAGGCGGTGGTGTCGTGATGATGCATAAGTACGTTACTAATCCTCGGCATAAGTCCTGATCATATTAGTAACAATACGAAATCACAAACTTATATGCATAAGTACGTTACTAATTAACGTATGTTAGATTTTTAATTTTGGAACCTGGCGCATGGGTAACTTGACACTGCTCCACTGGTAGCCCGTGCTGTAAATTCGACACCCCGTCACTGGAAGCCTGTTGGGTGTAAATCTGATTTTTGTGCGAGTGATGTCTGTGTATCACATTCCTGTATCTTCGGGCAATATTGATCTCCAATTGGACCTTATCATGATTCAGTTTTGTAGAAGACACTTATAATAAAAACATTTGACCAATCAGAATTTTATGACAGAGTTTATTTAGAGACTCGTATGGTAGTATACTGAATTATATTGTACCTTGGCTCTCTGAGAATCTATTTCAGTATAGAGATCATGAATTTGCTTCTTCAAAGAAGCTAGTTGGCTCTCCAGCCCAGCGTAGCTTGTTCCTTTTGAGCTTCTTCCATCTCCATTATAAGCCTATCTTGTTCACTCTCATGGCCCTAAGTGCACAAGTAACATGAATAATGGATTTAGTAGTTTAATATTAAACTAAACAAACTCAATATTAGAACAAATAAACATTAACTAATTTTGATGGTTTTGCTCAGTCTCTAGCATTTTGACCAACCATGCTAGGAAAATTCTGATAATCATTAAAAATATATTTGGATAAGTAGATAATAGTGTGCTGGTGTTATGGCAAGTGTCTAAAATAAATTAGATGCCTCCCCCGAGTCATTCAATTATACATTTTAACAAAACATGCCTTGAGGTTCTTAGAAGCAGCCTGCATTTGATTTTTAATCGCCTTTATCTTTTCCCCGAAATCCTTGAGTCTACTTTCTCTATATATTAGCAATTTTAAATTGCACCCATACTCAATTAAAAAATTTCATGATTAAGCACACACAATAATGTAGACTATTTCATGCAGCCGTCAGTAAAAAACACTATAAAAATCGAGAAACAGTTCAACCCCAGTAATAAAAATTCCAGATAGCCAAAATAGAAAGTAAAACAAAAGGAATACAAGACTTCACATTCAACCCCCAACGATAAAGTATCTTTATTTAGGTTAATAACTTTATTATGAAATAAAAGAAACCCGACATAACCTGATTACTATGGCGACTACATGATGAGAATTTTAGGATCATGGTCAAAAAGGGATTATGGCAAAAGTAGGAAAAAGGGAAAGAAAAAGTAAGGGGAAGATAAAACCAACTCATTTCCAGTTCTCAAATTAAGAACTTTTGCACGTCGTCTTAAAACATTACTACACATCTCTATATACAGAACAAAACTAATCACGTGTTAGCAAAAAGATGACAGCAATGCATTGCTATTAGATGTGAAAGCATTAGTTTTTATCATCCTTCACAAGTAGTTCATATCAAATCATCACCAAAATAATTTTGGAGCACAAGCACCATAACAGCTGCTACTACCCAGTCATCTTTTGCACCACAACATACATATGATTATCAACTTTTTGTTTAGACTCCAAGTATAACAGCAAATGCAAGTTACTTTAGCCAGGTAATGTGGTTTTGTGTAGCATGTTAATAACACTATATAGTAGACCCAAATCGTAACCACATTTTTGCAATTTTACAGCAAATAAAACACTCAGGAACTGAAGATTAAGCGAATCTATTGTTAACGAAACTGGAAACAAAAACAAAAAACTTTATTAAATAAATTCTCTAGAAGAACAACAAGGGATTCAAGAGCTCACTCGCTCCATAGGTCTCCATTTGGAAACTAAACCACTGTCTGATGGTCCTGAGGGCATGCAGTCCTTGAACGCATCATGTCGGTGCTCACACAACACAACAGTCTGAGGCAAGTACGCCATGCTTGTCGCGGTGGTCATTTCGGCATAGCTACTGCTGGCCATCCTGGTTAAATCCCGAAAACTTACTATTAGCATTGTTATTGCTACTATAAACACTTCTTTCACAAAGGCAGCGGAAAAGAAAAAAATATACCTTAAGCCCAAGTAATTTGAAGGGCGTAGCTTCTCCAGATGCAACGCAGTCGGGCCCGACAGCTTCAACGACAACCACTTTCCCTAGCCCACTCCCAACTGGATCTACATGTTGAACAATTACCATCCAAATGCAGTTCAATCCCCTAAATAAAATGACCATGGGTTCATATCTACTGTAACTTAAGAATATCAAAGTGAGGACCAATGAGTTGGAGCTTTTCATTCACTGTCCAAATAATCTTAACAAATAGTAACAGGACAAGAAACAAAAAATAATTTATGCATTCAAACATTCATCCACGACTATATTCCAAGTAGTCCGAACTGATCGAAAAATAAAATAAAATAAAAAAGTAGAAAAATAAGCTCAATTAAGCGAATATTGAAAAAACCCAAATGAATAAAGATATAATGGAAACAAACATGAAAACTATCGGAAAAGGCATCAGGATTTAGGAAATTTAACTTTGAAATCACAGTAAGGAGGAAGATAAGATCTTAAGAGATGTATGACTTGACATTTTTGCTTCGAATCTAAGTGGAATTCCCTTCTTTCGAGGTCATTTTCAGAGAAGGAAATATCAACATAGTTATGTCATGGAAATAAAATGCACATTGCAGATGAAGGTTTGATAGCCTCGGTATGGTCCTTCAATAAATATAATCAAATCACTTTGAACAACAGCAAAACACGTAAATCCTTATAATGTTCTTGGATTTGACTACAGATGAAACACCTACCTTTCACAAACCTTGTCTATAGATTCATTTGAATTGATAAATATAAAGTATAAATTCCAAATTACCAATCCATTGAGGTTTTCCTCGTATGGCCATCACCCAAAGGATTTGCGAATCCTCCATAGATATTTTATGCAACATATTGGAGGGATTCTAAACGCACTCAAGAAAATCATTCATTCAAATCCTCTTTCCAAATCCACATCTTTCAATATTTCTAACCCGAAAAGCACACAAATCTACTCAATAAAAACATCCCAAGTTATATCAGAACTACATAAAATGGTACAATGAACAATGCAAACATGAAATAACTGATAAGAACTCGAAGCACAACAACTTACTCAAACGTCGGATTGCAGAGGCTCCCATCTTCCCGTTTCAACAGAATCCTAACTCTCCCCCTTTTCATAAATTCCCTCGGATAAGCTTCTCACTCTAACTCCAGATTTTTATATTCCCATAAAACCAATACACAAATCAATGATTTTGACATTCCCAATATTGAAAGAGGAAAAAAAGAATGAAGTAAAACAAAGACTGGTTCATAAATTGAAACACTTACAATGTTTGTCCGTATATATCAACATTTTTTAATATTCGGCAGTTCATGCATGGAAGATTCATCAATCTCTTTCCTCCTCTAAGGCCTGCGTTTTCTGCAGACACCACCATTTAAGATCCAATAAAAAAACAAAACAACAAATTATCTCTATATCTCAATGTAAATAACCCTACACCGAAGACTCAAGAAATCTAACAACGGAATCACAAAATACATTTAACAGGAAGTAAAAGGATTATTAGTTTTTCTAACAAATGCAACCAAACAACTCAATTGTAGAAAAAAATCACAAATTAGGGCTTTCTAGAATATATAAAATCAAGGTAACTCCACCCCCTAGAGACAGACACATACACATACACATACACACTCGCACGTACAGTAGACAAGAGGCGAATACATAGAAAAAATAACATAATAACGCAACAACTACCCCATTAAGACGGAGGCTACCCAGAACCAAGTAAATTGCAGCGGTTGACGGCGAAGCTCTTTGCCCACGGCGTGGCTCAGTGGATTCCCTTCATGCCATAGAATCGTGTGCCTTCAAGCTCTTCAACTGGCGTCTCTTCGCCACGTCCTAGACTGCTCCAATTTCTCCACACGGCCGTGCGACGGGCTCGCACAGCAAGCGCCCCTACTGTGCCGACCGCGCCACCTTCTCCTTCTCCATCGGCGTCGTCCACTCCACAAAGAGCGAGTTTCGAGCCGTTTATGACTCACCTAGATGTTGAAGACATTGTAGCGGAGCGCTGTGTTGAATCAAGTTGAGGATCTATGATTCCATTGATCTTTTTGTTGCAGAAGACGTCGAAGGATAGAGAGAGGAATAACCAATTCGCCTAGGATTTTGAAGGGAAACGAACGAAAAAGTAGTAGACCCCAAATTGTACAGTCTGTTTAGATCGTGCAAAAAGTGGATTCAAATACACCGTACCCAGATTTTACGGCAAGAAAATCTAGCGAACAGTGGTAAGGCCCACCGAGAAACGTCGTACACTTTTTTTTGCCTCAGCAGGTTTTCCGGTGCTCTCCATTACGACCGATGGAAAGCTTTTTTACAAACACAAATGACCAATTTAGCCCGAAGAAAGCAGACGAAGAAAGATAAAGAAGGGTCATTTCAGTAAAACAATAAAATGCATTTGACTGAATTGGGTAAGGGCATCAAGTGTAAAAAGAGGACCAATGCAGGGGCATTTTGGTCAACTAATAATTGACATGTGTCAAGCTTAGAACACCTCATATTTTTGCTTATATGTAAGAGGGAGATAACATAAATAAAAATACGTTATAAGTATCTATTTTGTTAAAAAAACATGTCACGTCAAGAATAAAGATGTCAGGACGACCTTCTTAACTCATTAGAACGTTTCATATCTTTGCAAAAAAACGTTAAACACAACTTTAGGCAGGCATGAATATTTTTCTATCACATATGCATAATTTTAAATTGAATGTCGTGCTCTTTATAAACAATATGACAACTATTTTTCCAACAAATATGTAATTTCAAATTGAAGGTCGTATTATGAAAAAAACAATGTAACTAAAAGTATGAATTTTCACTTAATAAGTGTACATTTTATTATTATTATTATTATTATGTAAAGTACATCAACAAGGTTTAATATCTAAGTCACCTTATATAAGAATTTGTATAAATCGATAATAAAGCATATTATGATAGGTTTAAGTTAAATTCGATATAGAAAATGATATACTAATAATATGAGTGATGAAATAATATTTAAGTAGATACATACTACAAGATTTATAAAAAAATTATAATAACTAGTATTCATCCCGTGCACATGCACAGATCTACATATAATATTATAAGTAATATGTGCAAATTTTATATTAAAATTTTAGATAATGGACATATCACATTTTTGTAATGTAATTTTGATTCAAAAAAAAAGTTTGTAGGTAATGTATTTTTTATAATTTGGAGGGACAATGGTCAAATAATTTAGTTGAAAAACTATTATTATTATTAATATTAATATTACAACAATTGTTTATAAGTTTTTAAAGTTGTTTGACTTTGACTATGCTAATAAACTATTTATTAATTATTTTTATAGAAAATTGTTTCATGAGACAAAAAAGAAGAAGATAATATTGATTTTAAAATAAATAGCTTGAAACAATAATATTATTTACACATATGTAATTTATATTCATTGTGAAATATTATTAGTTGGTATTAGCATTAACTAATATATAATATTAGCAAAAAATACATGATTACACTTAATAGTGTGATAATCACTTAATAGTGTGCATTAATATGAAAGGTAAAAAAAATATTAATGATAATTTTTGTAACCAAACAGGGAGGGAAACGAAAATATTTTTATTAATTGTTTTGCTAGCAATTATATAGATATGATATGTATATATAAATATAGATGAGAGAATATATTAAAAACAAACATAATCCATCCACAATTTTTCTTCGTGATTTTAGTAAATGAAAATCAAATCCCCACATTTACAAGATAAAAGTTTGAACCATAATAAAATTCTGAATTTCGCAAATGGTAAAATCAATTAATTAAATAAATAATTTAAAATTGAGAAAACCCTCAAGAATTTGGAGATTGGTTTATTTTCCCTCTCTCTAACGCCTTCCCTAACGCAAACACTAAAACAAGAACTTCCGCGGTCCGCCATTAACAGAGCTCAACAAAAGCTTCACAAGCTTTTCCTTTTGTCAGCTCACTGACCTCTATCTTTCTCGAAGAAAATCCCAACTGAAAATTATTTTAATAATTTTTTCCCCGTTGACAGTTGATTTACCATTTTTCTACAAAAGCCCAGATTTTTTATCATCCACGACAACACCGAGAATCTGATTCTTCTGTTCTAGAAGATTTTCTTAAATTGGGTTTTGCGTTTTCTTTGATTTTTCCTTTTTTGGGGAGCTGTTGATACCTTTTGGGGAGCTCAATTGTTGTATTGGTTCATTAAAAATCCCAGCTTTCCCCTTTATTTTGCAAAATGGTGAACATCAGCAATACTAAAAACCTGCCAATTGCCACCGCCGCCGACGGTGGCGACGGCGGCGGCGGATCCACCAGGTCATGGGCCGCCCCCGTTTCCGGTCAGTCCATGTCGACTAGCGGCAGTGTTGGGTCACCATCCAGCCGGAGTGAGGCCACAGCTACAGCTGGGGAAAGCACAGTTCTCTTGTTAAACAATCTTGATATCGAAAGGGGTGATAATGGATCTCAGGGCACTCCTGAGTAAGCCCTTCGAGCCATTTTTCCATTTTTTTTTTCGTGTTGGTTCGAATAGTTGGTTTTTGAAGTTTCTGTGAATTAGTATAATTTGGAAGGTGAAGTAGCTTTAGTTTTGTTTTGGTGGATTGTGTTGATAAGGGTCGGTGATAATTGATTGTTTGGTAATGGAGATATATTTGCAAAGTTCCGGTGGAGATTGATTGAAGGGTCATTTTGTGAAGTGTGTGAATGTTATATGATGATATATACTTATTTAGTTCGTGGGTTTTTGTACGCGTTTTTGATATAAACATGTTGTACTTTGTCTGATCAAGGTTATCCTTTATGTTCAGTTATTGAAATTCAAAGGCATTCTCTTGTCATTTTGTCTCATCAGCAACAGGAGGAAGAAGAGAGGACAACGAGCAGCTGGAGGAGATAAAAATGGTCGAGGGCTTCGTCAGTTTAGCATGAAAGGTACCCTTTTTTTTATTTTATATTAATTTATTTCTCATATCTCGTCGTGTTTCTTTAATTCTGTAATGAGGATGCGTGTTTTATTGAATGTCCTGGCTAATGTGGTCGTCGGAAAATATCATGGTTAAGGTATATATTTTGACTCGTGCAATATCTTTGTAATCTGATTAACTTCTCTCGACTCTTGTTTTCCTTCTAAAACTATGCTGTTGTTTTTTTATGGTATCGTTCAATCTTTAATCTTTTAATGAACTACCCATTGATGATAATTTTGTTGTAGTTATTAATAACCTATTGTCTTTTGTCTGGATAGTATGCGAGAAAGTGGAAAGCAAAGGGAGAACTACATATAATGAGGTTAGATCTTTATTCTTTGAATTTGGATACGTTTTATAGACATTCTTTACGAATGGTTCGATTTTTTCCAAAAATAACTCTAAGTTGCTAAACTTTTTTCATATTGCCACATGTAGACCTTATATTTGACTGTGAACGCTATATGTGTGGATTATGCGATTTGGGATTATATTTGACTGTTAATATGGCCACACGTAGACCTTATTTTCGACTTCTTTACTTCAAAATCCTCTTTCTTTATTCCCTTCCATTTTTTTATGATTTGTGGATTATATGTTGGTTTTTTAAACTGACATACTCTTATACATTCAATTATTTTGCATATTCATCTCAATTGCATTTAGAGATATTCGTTTTTATCACTTTGTTTGTCCCTCACATATCAAGAACACCTTTGAAGTAAGCTAAAGTCCTTTTCTTTATCGTATTAATCGTACTTAAGTTATCTCTTTTTTCAGGTGGCTGATGAACTTGTTGCTGAATTCACTGAACCTACCAATAGTCTTTCATCACCCGACCAGGTGTTTTTTTTTTTTTTTTTTTTTTTTTTTTTTTAAAAATAGTATCCATTCATGCAGTTGCTGTGAGATCTTACTATTCGAGTTACAAAATTTGATTTTTGTCTAATAAATGAATACAAAACAGCACCAGTATGAAGAGAAAAACATACGCCGGAGAGTATATGATGCTCTAAACGTGCTAATGGCTATGGATATTATCTCTAAAGATAAAAAGGAAATACAGTGGAAGGGTCTTCCGAGGACTAGTGTGGATAATGTTGAAGAATTTAAGGTCAGATTTTTATCATTTATCCCCCTTATTTTTCTATTCTGTCGCTGCAAGAAGTAATTATCATATTCCAAATAAACCAGCCATTTAATTTAATCCTTGGTTTGTATGTAAATTTCTTGCAGGCTGAACGTCTTGGACTTCAAAATAGCATCGAGAAGAAAGCAGCTTATCTGGAAGAGCTCGAGGATCAAGTAAGAACTATAAAAAAGATAAAAAAAGTTATGACCCAATTAAAATAAAACCCATCAATTATCTTTCAAGAACCGTACTTAGAAGGCTTTGTTGCACATTCTCGACAAATATCTTCTTATCAAAGGTTTTACGTTGTTAAATAGTAACATAATGGGTATTTGTAGTGTTCTGATGTGTAGTTTAGTTTATTCATAAAACGTATCTGCCAGACTCTATTTTTTTTTTTCTTGCAGTACATTGGTCTTCAAAACCTCATACAGCGCAACAAGCAATTGCATGGCTCGGAAAATGCTCCAAATGGTGGAGTTGCACTGCCTTTCATATTGGTTCAGGTACAGTTGGCTTGATTATTCGTTACACTAATTTATTTTATATTGAAAAATGAGTTTTTCGAAATCAATTCGCGTTTACTTGTTTTTATGTAATTTTAGACACGCCCTCATGCCACGGTGGAAGTGGAAATATCAGAAGATATGCAGCTTGTGCATTTTGATTTTAATAGGTAAGACGATTTTGCTTAAATAGAATTATTTTTTTGGGGATAAAATCCAATGTATACAAATATCAAACGGGTAAAAATTGTGGAGTGATATTTCGTTACGTATTGTTAACAAATTCGCTTATTCATCTCTCAACTGCAGCACCCCTTTTGAGCTCCACGATGATAATTATGTTCTGAAGGCGATGAAATTCGCTTATTCATCTCTCAACTGCAGCACCCCTTTTGAGCTCCACGATGATAATTATGTTCTGAAGGCGATGAAATTCGGCATAAAAAACCCACAAAATATTCCGAGCAGAAGAGGCGAAAGCTCGAGCATGGCCAATATGTACCAATTTCAAGCGAGTCATTTTTCGAGGCCAAGTTTAACTCTACCCGCAATATTAAAGGCGCGTGTTAAACACGAGCAATAGGTTGAAACTCAAACAAACAATGGTTAAATCTTTTCACCATATTATCATCATTTATATTGCAAATGTATATCATGTAAAGATATATGGAAAGCATAAGCAAGATGAATGTCATAGGATTTTCTGGAATGAATAACTTTTTGGTTAGATGATATAGTTTTTCTGTTAATTTGTCCTACTTTTTAAAGATTTATCAGTAGTTTTTGAACTAATTGTAACAACAGTTAGTGAAGATTAGATTAAATTTTGAAGGACGTTTTGATTTATTACTTGAACAGTGATGAGAATATTGTTGGAGAGGCTTTACTTGATTTTGGCTCCAAAAATTAACTAAAGCACAGGTAAACACAAAATTCAGTGCTTAAAAGAGAGCTAACATAAAGCTAGAACAAAATTTGATCATCAACAAAAAATGTTCTTTTACAAAATCCAAGCAACTACATAAGTTTAAAAAATATCTTGCAAAACCCAAAGTTGAGTCGAAAACCAAAGTCGAGTCGAAATTTTCACGTATATCAATACTGCTTGGCAAGTTCTGCGAACGAGTTGTAAGTCCCCAAAATCGCGCTTACTGCACCCAACACGACGATTACAGTACTCAACACAACCTGCACAAGCAAATTGGCTTGTGAAAAAAGGAAAACAGTAATGATGGATAATAGATTTAGCTGCGATATGACATAATATTCACGAACTCAGATTCATCTTCATTATATGCCCTTTTTTTTACCGTAAAAATGAGAACCCAAAGAGCTTGTGTGTCTACTTTTATCATTCAAAAAATTTAACATAGCTCTTTTTTTATTGGGTTTGGGTACACTCACAACACGTGGACACTAACGTAACAACTTTATTAGATTAACAAAGTAACAAAAAAACACACTATTGACCAAGATAAATCACTTCACTTATTAAGACCAAACACCCTAATTATGCCACTCATACACTCTTTTACTTAGACTCTTGGATGCTTGGATACATTTCAAATGAGGTGGTCTCCTCTGTTTATAGTCATCACCTCCTCTAAGGAATTCTCTAGAACATATAATGTCTTGGGCATTCTAGATACTTCTACAAAGTTCCTACACACATGTCCCTACTACAATTCTCTACAATAATTGGGAAGGCTCTAGAAGGCTCCACATTACTCTCAAAGGTTCCACATGCTTCTAGATCCTTCCACAACATTCCGAGACGTTCTCCATTATTCCGAGTCTTTCTAGATGCTTTCGGAATCTTCCACAATGTTCCAGGACGTTCTTTTTTTCGGATTGTTCTATATGCTTCCGACAATTTCTGCAAGTATTCAGGACCTTTCCAAAAGGAAGTTTGATATTTTAACATTTTTGGGCTCAGTGAAAAGGCCCTGTGGGCTGCACCGGTTAAATCGGCAGTGGCCCAAGAAATTTTTGGCCTGTAGGGGAACCCCTTAATAGCAAACAAGTCTATATTGAGTATACCGTCTTCTAAAAGGAAGATCTTTCATGAGAGTACTTCATTTAGCAAGAAAACCGGGTCATTTTAGTTAACATTCAAAAAAAGAGTAATCTTCGCCTCGACTTATCCATCTCCATTTGCTTTGAATTGAAAAGCAGAGCACTATTCGGAAAAAAAAAGCGCACGAGAGCATGTATAATAAAGAGCTCTTTAATTTAGATGTAGTTACCTGTGTTGACGTGGCACTCTTTCCCAAAATTCTCAAGAAGCATAATGCCGGCATTATTACAGCCTGGATCAAACCCATATGTAAAACGACAAATTTGAGGACGAGAAGAAACATTAATAGTAAGCTTTGTTTAAAATGGCGTATGGAAATATAAGATACTTTGATTTCGTTAAATTTTCATATTTTATTAGTTTGATTGATGAAATAGTTATCACATAAAGCCCCACGACCACAACATTGCTTACCATAAGAACACTGAAGAGAGAACCGATTAGAGACATGACAGTTCCTGCATGCATGGGAAAAGATTTTTAAGTCGAATATTCATTATTCAAATCATAAAAGCATAAGAAAATCGTATGTTTAGAATCTCACGACAAAATACGTCAAAAATGGCAAAACCTACCGAAAAAGGGAATGATAAATGCTACAAGAAGGGAAGAAATGACGAGAGCTATCCTTATAAGAACAAAAGACAAGTTGCTATTGGACCAGCTTCGAGGCAGAAGCTCCTCCATGCTTCTCGCAAGGGGATTCATTAGCAGGGCATACTTATTTACAGCTAAGGAAAAAAAAGAAAAAAGATAATATCGAATGCAAATTATATAAAGTTGCATTATGTTATTGTGAACCGAAAGTAAATCTCAAGGATATTTGGTCAACGGGTTGATAACCTGTAAAAAGATGAATCAAGAAGTTAATAGTTAATACATCATAGGATTATATAAAGAACAGATATAACCCCAAAATATTGAAATAATGTTAAAAATAATATACTCACTGTTGTCCATAATGCAACTTTCGAACCGACAGTATGTGGCGGTAGATTGAGAGTAATTTGTGACTCTGTGCTTTGACCAAACATGAGAAATCCCATGATTGCCGCCCCACCATAAAGCCCAACACATATAAGAAAACTGCAGGGAAAACAAACAGATATTATGCCTATATACATACAAAATGCACTGTTGGAGGATTTTTCTAAAAAAAAGGCCATAGTTTGTGTAGTTGTGTGTACCATATTATTATTGCTTTGGTGAACTGTGTTTTATCGGCCATCGATTGGTAAATATTTGGAAACACCGAGTGGCCCGAGTAGCAATATCCATATATACCAATGGCGAAAGGAATACCTTTGTAATTTATAAATTTACTGCCATGGTGAAATCCAACTCCACCTTTGGTGCCGACAAATAATAAACATAAAACTACCACGATTGTTGCAAGGACTCCGCTTGCTGCCAAATCAGAAAAAGTATACTCAGAATAATAGTTTTGGAAAAAAAAACATTGAAAAAAAAATTATATTAGGAATAAAGAAGAAGATTTGCCTGAAATGTAAGAAATCAAACGAAGGTCTTTCAGCAAAACGGTTGGTAAAATGACGAGAGTGGCGATAATTGCAAATAGATGCACGGAATCGAGATGGTAGCCGAATATAGTTAAAGATGCTCCTGGAAATATTCGAGTCAGATTATCCCCTTCCAAGATGATAAATTCTACACAAGACGCCTGCATATAAACCGGTGAGGTGAGTGAAAAAATCCAAACAAGTGTTGAATAACAAATAAAGGGAACTGGTCTCTGCTAAAGAAAGGATCAAAATGATGTGCTTACATATAGTTCCGAATACAATATGATCTGCAACAAAAATAAAAAAATAAAAAATAAATGGTGGTATTAGAGAATTGCTGCTTAATTTCCCAACATTGATCATGCATGTTCTGCCCAAAAAAATAAAAAATGCACCACTTCCTCAAAGACTAAATTTTATAGCTGACAGTCGATAATATGAAAATATTTTCAGTAGAAGGTAAAATCTTGTATAAAACTTACGGATATAACAATACGGCCCCATTTCCCAAAAGCAGCCTCTCCCATATCAGGAAAAGTAAGTATACTGCCCGTGCTCTCGAAACATTGCTTCATAAGAGTAGCTGTATAACAGCAGATAAAAGCAAAGAGAACAAGAACAAGCAAGCTGGCCCACCCGCCTTCTCTCACGGTGTACGGTGTGGACAGCATCCCAACACCGGCCATAACATTAAGACCTGCATCACACTAACACAATATATTAAAAAAAAATAATAATAATAATAACTCTAGAAGAAAAAAAAATGAAATAACTAAAAAAATAGAGAACAAAAAAAAAAAAGAATCTTGAAAAATTGAAAAGTAAAAGAACTAAACATTAGGCTCTGTCTACACAAAATAAAGAGTTCATGATCTTATAGAGCTCACCATTGAATATGGTCTGAACAAAACTACATCCGTGGCTAAGAGGAAACTCTCCTGTCGGCATAGAAGAACTAACGGACAATAAAGATGGTGTTTTTAACCTCTCAAAGTGTTCTTCACGATACCCTCTCTTGTAATCAGCAATCAAGGGCATTCGGTCATTCAAGTCATTTTGGTTGATCATTGCTGAAGAACCAATCGCTGATGAACGAAATAACGTCCCAAAGTTTGGCGAGGCAGCTATTGAATAGAAATCAGTCGTTTCTCTGGAAAAAAAAAAAAGAAATTAAGGTGTGAAATATACAAATTTATTTCTGAAATCTAACTTTATTAGTAGCCAGTGATGATTCACTATACTAGATCATGCTGAATCATAAAAACACTCTTCGTAGTCATTACAATAACTTGGGATTTAGTCAAGTTTTAGATATTGCAGTAAAGTTAAAAAGCTTAATAAAGAACGAAAAATCGACAAGCAGAAGGTAAACCCGACGAAACTCATATAAGAAAGTACGGATTATAGAAGAGACAAATCAATCTACCCCAATTTCGATTAGCAATACAAGGGTTGAAAATATAAGCTACTTTATCATCCCCACCGAACATAATCAAAAGTCATCGAACAAACAATGTTCACATTCTAGTATCCCCAACTCATACAAACCTATAACTTCAATAACTTAGTAACATCTCCTCAAATAAGAGATTATCCTTTTGAAAACAGGCAACACAATAAATGCTTATAGTTCACAATTCACACA